GTCAGAACTAAGGTAACTTTGACAAAGGGAGAATCACAGAATGGTTTTGATTGGAAGGAACCTTCAAGATCATCTAGTTCCAACCCCTTGCCATGGGCAGGGACACCTCCCACCAGCCCAGGCTGCTCCAAGCCCCATCCAACCTGCCCTTCAACACCCCCAGGGATGGGGCAGCCACAGCTTCCCTGGGCAACCTGGGCCAGGCAACTAAGGTAACTTTGACAAAGGGAGAATCACAGAATGGTTTTGATTGGAAGGAACCTTCAAGATCATCTAGTTCCAACCCCTTGCCATGGGCAGGGACACCTCCCACCAGCCCAGGCTGCTCCAAGCCCCATCCAACCTGCCCTTCAACACCCCCAGGGATGGGGCAGCCACAGCTTCCCTGGGCAACCTGGGCCAGGCTCTCCCCACCCTCACAGCCCAGAATTTCTCCCTCCCATCTCAGCTCCAGCTCCCTCTGCCAGCTGGAAACCCTTCCCCCTGCTCCCATCCCTCCCTGCCCTTGTCCCAAGCCCCTCCCCAGCTTTCCTGGAGCCCCTTCAGGCACTGGAAGCTGCTCTCAGGTCTCCCTGGAGCCTTCTCTTCTCCAGGCTGAACACCCCAACTCTCCCAGCCTGGCTCCAGAGCAGAGCTGCTCCAGCCGTCCCATTGTCTCCGTGGCCTCCTCAGGACTTGCACCCAGAGCTCCAATGTCCTTCCTGCACTGAGGGCTCCAGAACAGGTTAGTTCTCCAGGTGAGGTCTCACAAGTGTGGAATAGAGGGGCAGGATCACCTGCCTTGACCTGCTGGCCATACTTCTTTTGATGCAGCCCAGGATGCAAAGCTCAACATGGATCTGATTGTAATGCCTGTGCAAAAACAGTCCTATTGACTGAGCTCACCACTTCTGGCTACTCTGCTTGCTGTACCTCACTGCTCTTCACTTTTAATTCTGCTTGAAAAAGCACCATGACTATAATTCTCCAAGCATTTTAAAACTGGTCAGATATGAGCACTTTGGCTGATCAGAAGGAAATGGGGGAGAAGAAAGCAGCTTTTCAGAGCACTCTCCCATCACACCCTCACACTCAGCATTATTCTCCCTTGCCATTCCAATCAGATAAAGAGGCCACCACTGCCAAACCTTCTTAGCTTCATTGCTTTTCAAAATGCTTTTCATTCATTCAGTATTGCACTAGACTATTCATTAGAAGTCTTAGAAATATCAAGGAAGTAACTGAGATTCAATCTCATCTTCCTCTGCAAGCCTTAGAAATGTTAGTACTGTATTTGAATTCACAAGCACTTTGCAGTCCTGATACTTTCTTTGCCTTTAGGTCTTCAATAAACTTCCTGACTCCATCACATTTTGGTACAGAAGGTTCTGAGTATCCTTCTTCACTGATCTTTGTCCCTAAAATTACTCCTACCCTCCAGACATTCAATATTCACTGAGCTTTCACAGGTTGACTAATGGATCTCAACTTCAATTTTATGAAGGAAAACAGTTTTGTGTCTTCGAGGGGGGGTGGGAAATAATTTTAAAAATCTTCCTGGAGAGTCACCAGACTGTGCTGCAAAATATTCAAACACCAGCTACAAGTTTTTTTCAGAAGTGTACTGGCGTGTTGTCAGCACATGAAGTGATGATATCGGAAACTCTGCTCCTTTCTGGCATATCACTTCCCAGCTACATCCATCCCATTTAGGTCTGCAGGGGGAGTCTGTTAAACCTTTGACCTGGACAGGCTGGAGAGCTGGGCAGAGAGGAACCTCATGAGGTTCAACAAGGGCAAGGGTAGGGTCCTGCACCTGGGGGAGGAAGAACCCCAGGCACCAATACAGGTTAAGGGTGGACCTGCTGGAAAGTAGTTCCAAGAAGGATCTGAGGGTCCTGATAGATAGTAAATGATCCATGAGCCAGGAATGTGTCCTTGTGGCCAAGAGGGCAAATGGAATCCTGAGCTGCATGAGGAAGAGTGTGGCCAGTAGGTCAAGAGAGGTCATTGTCCCCCTCTGCTCTGCCCTGGTCAGGCCACAGCTGGAGAACTGGGACCAGTTCTGGGCTCCCCAGTTCAAGAGAGACAGGAAACTGCTGGAGAGAGTCCAGGGGAGGGCAACAAAGATGACTGGGGGGTTGGAGCATCTCCCTGATGAGGAAAGGCTGGGAGAGTTGGGACTGCTCAGCCTGGAGAAGAGAAGGCTGAGGGGAGACCTTCTTAATGCCTGGCAGTATCTCAGGGGGGTGCAGGGAGGATGGAGCCAGACTCTGCTCAGCAGTGCCCAGGGACAGGACGGGGGGCAACGGGCACAAGCTGGAA